TCCATCACAAGGCTTTTGGAGATGTCTTAGATCTTTGTATCGCTGGGAAGGGTTAAGCTTATCAATATTAGTCATCGCACAATGTGGCTGTTATTGTGTACGACGTTCTCCTGGTTCTGCTCACTTCACTCAGCATCAGTCCATACAAGGCTTTCCAGGTTTTTCTGAAGTCAGCCTGTTCATCATTTCTTATAGACAATAGTATTCCATTGCATTCCTATACCACAACTTGTTCAGACATTCCCCAGTTGATGGGCATCCTCTCAATTTCCAATTCTTTGCCACCACAGAAAGAGCTGCTATAAATATTTTTGTACATATGGGTCCTTTTCCCATTTGTTTGATCTCTTTGGGATACAGCCCTAGAAGTGCTATTGCTGGATCAAAGGGGATGCACACTTTTGTAGCCCTTTGGGCATAGTTCCAAATTGCTCTCCAGAATGGTTGGATTGTTTCACAACTCCACCAACAATGCATTAGTGTTCCAGTTTTCCCACATCTTCTCCAGCATTTATCATTTTCCTGTTTTGTCATGTTGGCCAGTCAGATAGGTGTGATGTGGTACGTTGTTTTGATTTGCATTTCTCTAATCGAGTGATTTAGAGCATTTTTTCATAGGTCTATAGATGGCTTTAATTTCTTCCTCTGAGAATTGCCTGTTCATATCCTTTGACCATTTATCAATTGGGGAATGACTTGTATTCTTATAAATTTGACTTAATTCTATATGTATTGTAGAAATGAGGCCCTTATCAGAGAGACTGATAATCTCATCATAATTGCTCATCATTTCTTATAGCATAATAGTATTTCATCACAATCATATGCCACAACCTGTTCAGCCGTTACCCAATTGATAGGTATCCCCTCGATTTCTGATTTCTTTGCCACCACAAAAAAAGCTGTCATAAACATTCTTGTACAAAAGGTCCTTTTCCTTTTTGTTTTTTATCTCTTTGGGATATATGCCTAGTAGTGGTATTGCTAGGTCAAAGGAATATGCATGGTTTTATAGCCCTTTGAGCACAGTTACTAACTGCTCTCCAAAATGGTTGAAATCAGTTCACAACTCCCACCAAAAATGCATTAGTGTCTTAATTTTCCTACATCTCTTCCAACATTTGTCATTTTCCTTTCCTGTCATATTAGCCAGTCTGATAGGAGTGTGTTGGTACCTGAGAGTTGTTTTAATTTGCATTTCTCTAATACTTATTTAGAGCATTTTTTCATATAATTGTAGATAGCTTTGATGACTTCATCTGAGAACTGCCTGTTCATATGTGACCATTTATCAGTTGTAGAATGGCTCTTATTTTTACAAATTAGACTTGGAAAAAAACAACAACAAATTAGACTTGGTTCTCTAGATTTGAGAAATGAGACCTTTGTCAGAGAAGCTTGCTGAAAATTTTTTTTCACATTTATTACTGTGCATTTCCCTCTATCCTCTTCACTCCCAATTTATCCCATTCTTTCTCTTCCTTTTACCCTGTCCATTCTCAGAAGTGTTTTGCTTCTGACTACTGCCTCCCCCAATTTTCTTTCCCTTCTATCAGTCCCTCCCCCTCTTCTTATCTCTTTCCTCTCCTACTTTCTTTTTTTTTTCTTTTAATTTCCTCTCCTACTTTCCTGTAGGATAAGATAGATTTCTATATTCAATTGAGTGTGTATGTTATCTTCTCTTTGAGCCAGTTCTGGTGAGAATAACGTTCAAGGACTATCCATCTTCCCCTCCATTGTAAGATATTTTGCACCTCTTTTATGTGAGATAATTTACCCCATTCTCCATCTCCCTTTCCCCTTCTCCCAGCTCATTTCTCCTTCTCACCCCTTAATTTTATTTTTTTTTAAGGTATCATACCATCATATTCAACTTAAACTCATGCCCTCTGTCTATGTATACTCCTTCCAATGGCCCTTATAATGAGAAATGTCTTAGGAGTTACAAGTATCATCTTCCCATGTAGGAATGTAAACAGTTTAACCTTATCAAATCCCTTGTTATTTCTATTTCCTGTTTATCTTTTTATGCTTCTCTTGAGTCATATATTTGAAAGTCAGATTTCCTATTCAGCTCTGGTCTTCTCATCAGGAATACTTGAAAGTCCTCTCTGTTTCATTAGATGTCCATTCTCCCTGCCCCCATTCCCTGGGAAAGATTATACTTAGTTTTGCTGGATAGGTGATTCTTGGTTGTAATTCTAGCTTCTTTGCCCTCTGGAATATCATATTCCAAGCCCTCTGCTCCTGTAATGTAGAAGCTGCTAAATCTTGTTTTATCCTGACTGTGGCTCTACAATATTTGAATTGTTTCTTTCTAGCTTCTTGCATTATTTTCTTCTTGACCTGGAAGCTCTGGAATTTGGCTCTAATTTTCCTGGGAATTTTCATTTTGAGATCTCTTTCAGAAGGTGATAGATTGTTTCCATTTCTGTTTTGCCCTCTGGTACTAGGATATCAGGGCAGTTTTCCCTGATAATTTCTTGAAAGATATTTCCTAGGCCCCTTTTTTGATCATGACTTTCAGGTAGTCCAAAAATTCTTAAGTTATCTGTCCTTGAGCTTTTTTCCAGGTTAGTTGTTTTTCTAATGAGATATTTCACATTTTCTTCTATTTTTTCCATGCTTTGATTTTGTTTGATTGTTTCTTGATGTCTCATGGAGTCTGCTTGCCCAGATCTAATTTTTCAGGAATTATTTTCTTCGGGGCATCTAGGTGGCACAGTGGATAGAGCATGGGCCCTGAAGTCAGGAGGACCTGAGTTCAAATCTGGCCTCCGACCAAACACTTGACTCTTACTAGCTGTGTGACCCTGGGCAAGTCACTTAATTCTGGTTGCGCGCCCCCCCCCCAAAAAAAGGAATTATTTTCTTCAGTGAGCTTTTGTACCTCCTTTTTCCATTTGGCCAATTCTTCTTTTTAAGGAGTTCTTCTCTTCACTGGATTTTTGTTCCTCTTTTCCCGTTTGGCATAATCTGTTTTTTAAGGTGTTCTCGTCAGTAATTTTTTTTGTGCCTCCTTTAGCAGGCTGTTGGTTTATTTTTCATGATTTTCTTTGATCACTCTCATTTCTTTTCCCAGTGTTTCCTCTACCTGTCTTATTTGATTTTTAAAATCCTTTTGGAGTTCTAGGAATTCTTTTTTGGGACTGAGATTAATCCACATTTTTCTTTGAGGCTTTGGATGTAGCAGTTTTGACTTTGTCATTTTCTTTTGAGTTTGTGTTTTGATCTTCCCTGTCATCAGAATAACTTTATGGTCAGAGTCTTTGTTGTTGTTGTTTGCTCATTTTCCCGCCTATTTCTTGACTTTTAATTTTATGTTGAGTTTGGGCTGTGCTCCCATGGCGGAGGGGGGTACTGTCCCAAGCTTCAGATGTTTTTGTGTGGCTATTTTCAGAGCTAGTGGCAACCTGCAAGGTTTTGGTTTTACAAAGTGGTATGATCTAAGGAGAAGTGTGCTTACTACTTTTCTGGCCTATGCTCTGGTCTCGAAGTGACCCCAAGCACTCTTGTCTGTCCTGCGGCTGCGCGCTCTGGCTTGCTGCTGCTCTTTCTCGCCCTGGGAGACTGCCTCTTAGGACTTCAGCCCAGCTCCGAGTATGGGCAGCGCAGCAGAGTCCTGCATTCAGTGCCTGCAGAAGGATCCCCTGCGATCTCCTTTTGACTAGTTCTCTGATCTCTTTACTGTAGTCTTTTGTGGGCTGAGAGTTCCAGAAACCGCCACTGCCACTGCTGAGTCGGTGCCCTGAAGCCTGCTGCTGGTTGGCTGGTGTGTTAGACTGTGCTCCTCTCTCACGTTGGTGCAACTGACCTTTCCTGCCAAGCTTCCAAGTTGTCTTGGACTAGAAGATTGTTTCACTCCATCCTTTTGTGGGTTCTGCCACTCCAGAATTCTTTTTGAGGCATTATTTAAAGTTGTTGGAGGGGAATGTGGGAGAGCTTAGGCCAGCCCTGCCTTTTCTCTGCCATTCTCTTCTTAATTATTTCTTATCTATCTCACATATGGTTTGTTTGTACATGGCTGTTTGCTTGTTATCTCCCCTATTGGATTGTGAGTTCCTTGAGGGCAGGGACTGTCTTTTACTTGGCACAATGCCTGGCACATTGGAGGCATTTAATAAAAATTTACTGACCGACAGGGTGAGTGATCTGTTTACTGCACCAACCGTTGCCTCCAAGAAGAGGCAAGGAAAAAGCAGCAATTTAGCAAAACTAACAGATACATCAGCTGTTGCTGACAGTGTATGCAGTATTTCCTGCTCATAGTCACCCATTTGTGCAGTGAGAGGTGAACAATATCTACCCTCTTATAACTCCTTATTATTACTCAGTGTATTCTTTTGTTGCTGTTTATTTATGTTGTTATCATTGTGTGTGTAGAGCTATTTTTGCTTGGTTCTGTTTACATCACTCAGCTTCAGTTTGCATAGGTCTTCCTGTACTTTTCCAGAGACTTCATATTTGTCATTTCTTAGGGTGCAATAATATCCTATTACATTCACGTACCACAATTTTGTAGCTATTCTGCAATCTCTGCACATCTGTTTTCTCTCTGGTTCTTTGCTGCAATCAAAGGTCTAGTCAAGACTCCTGGTGTCTATCTTATTAGTAGGAACAGATACCTAAGTTATTTCTCTTCCCTTTTAGTGGCTTCATCAGTAAAGCTTTTGAAGGCCATCAGAGGAAGCTGGTATAGATTTGACTTAAGAGATTTGACTGGAAGAGTAAAATGTAAAATGTTTTTCGTTTGGCATCATTTAGTTGCAAACCTCTTTAAATGGTTTCAGAATTACTAAAAAGGTAAAATGACATGAGAGGACCTGCTTCCCGGTTTTGTCCTTGCTTTGCATGGGGAGGGGAAGTCGGAAGAAGAGGAGAAGTGAATCAAGTCATGTGATACTGCCTGTCTGGCAGAAGTCTTTAAGTTCTGAGCGGAGATACCAACTGTGTTTACTATTTTGGGTAAATGAGGTTGGTTGGTTGCTACGAGCAGCTTCTCTATGGGACCCTTCCTTGCTTCCAGTATGCACAGCTCTACTCATTGAGATCATCCCAGTGCTTGCTATTGAAATTTGGGTGGAAGAGGGAGGCATCTGCCTAGTCTGAGTCCTGGCTGGAAGAAACACTCCCTTCAGTGTCCCCTTCCCCAAATGTGATCGGGCTGGGGCAGCTGGCAACTTATTACTCTGCAGAAATGAAATAGCAGCCTAGAAAGTGGTGGTGAGCAGACCTTTTCCAAGCAGCAAACTGCCTCTTTAAGGGGGTGAGGGAAGTCTGGCTTATTGCAACATCTGCTTCTGGAGCCCAAAATCCCCTCCAGCATGCTGGAGGAGAAGACTAATATCCTACAGTGTGCCTCTGGAATTCTGCCACTCTCGGGGATTGGGCTGAAGCAAGGGCAGGACATTGACTCAGCAGGATGCCAGGATCCATACCACAATTTGCGGGAAGGTTAGCACATTCAGCCCCTTTGCCTTTTGCATGCTGTGGCCGTTTCCTTCTGCGCTTCACGCTGCTCTTCTTCCCCTGTCCGTGTCCAAACTTTGAATCTGGCTGCTTATTTCTTCCAAGTTTTTCTGAAAGTATGAGTTTCACATGGCAGCTAGGCATGGTAGCAAGCATATACATACATACATACACATACATATGCATATCTGTCTACACACACACACACATCTATGCCTGGTTCACATTGTCCAATTGCTTTCTCCCTTTACTAACCCTTTCCTTCCCCACATGAAGTTGCTCAGAGGTAATCACAGCTTCAGAGAGGAGGAAGAAGGGAGAAGGGACCTCGTAGGCAAGCAGTACATTCTTTTCTGTTGTTTTGGACAACAACCAGTTGTGTGAGGACCAAGGTGCCGACTGTTTGAGCTTAGGGGAGTCACGAGGATTAGAAATGTCGCTTTCCATGCCAGCACCATAGGCTGAGAGGAGGTTGTTTGTGCTGCCAGCTTGTTCTGGGCCAGGGCTAAGAAGCTGGGCTGGATATATCAATCTGGGTGATTCTTAGTTTTACATTTATGAGGAAATGCTCCTTTGGTGCTGTAATAATGGTTGTCTTCAGTGCACAAGATGATTCTAAGTTTAAAGGAAATACTTTCAGATGAGCTTAAGTTCAGAGAAAGGGAAGATGGCCAGTGAATGCTAATGGAGGAAAATTATCCTCTTTTTTAATAGCTTGGAAACTGTATGCTTTCTGATGGCTAGGTTTATATAATCCACACTAGCAATTAAATATGGATTAATCTATACATTTGAAGACATTTCTTAGAAATTTTTGAAAATTCTGGAGTACATGTAATTGGCCATGAATGGATGTATTGTAAATATGATTAGATCTGGGTCCGTCTGGGAAAGGGAGTAGCTTTTTGAAATAGTTTAGTTACTGGAAGTTTTTCTTTTTTCCTTGTGCCTGTAGTATTGTTCAGTGGATACTAAAATTATCATTTGTGTTACTTTCTTGAAAATTGGCTATGTATTTTGCTGTTTTCATAATGTTTCTGAGGTTTGAATGTGTCTTAAGATAAGCACTGAGATAATTCTCTTTTGAAGTTTTCTGGAGTTCCATATTGTATCCTGAAAGTTGAAAGAGAAATCTGATTTTCTATCTCTTTTTGCTTAAAGTGTCAGGATTTGTAACAAAATGGGGGGGGGGAGGAAGAAAACATACATTTTTGCTTTAGGTGGTGAAAGCAGCAGAGGATACTTTGAGTGTACTCCGGAAGATGGGGGAGGGAACAACAGTTATACATTCTTCCTTCAGGAAACCATGGATACCCACTTCTAATTAATTTTTCACCTTCTTATATGTACTTTTTTGCTCTTTTATTCATGTTTCTTATTTTTCTTACTCTCCTTTAAAAAAAATGGATAGTCAGTGCTCAGTTCCATGGGGTTAATTGTTCCTGGAGAAAAGCAGACCAAAGGTGATTTCACTTTATTGTGTTAGTTGACAGTTGGAAGTAACCCACGGATGCATCCGTTGCCCAGACTGTTATTTTCCACATTTTACTTCGGCATAGCCAGTATTGGACTGTGGACAGATTCATGAGAGAGAAGTTTGAAAGTCCCCAAAATTGATTTATTTGTATTTTTACACAATCTCTTTAAACTTACGGTGGCCATTAAGTGGGCAAGAATAAACAAAAACTATAAAACTCAGTGCTTAGTTGTTTGGGGGAAGATAGGTAAACTGGGATGGCACTGCAGATTGATGGAACTTTCTGGAGAGCACTCTGGTGGTATATCAGGAGTTATACAAATTATACTGAGTGATCCAGTAATCTCATCATTGAGAATATACATTGAAAACATTTCGAAGTGTTTTCAAAATCTGTATGCAAATGTTTATAGTAGTAGTGTTTATAATAATAGGAAACCGCCTACGTATTAACTAACAAGAATGACTGAACAAATGATTGTATAGTAATACAGTAGAGTGGCATAATGCAGTAATTAATGGCAAATAGGAAAGATGGAAGAGCTGGAAGAACAGTATCAGTAGTGGCTTTGATTGCATGGATCTCCATGTAGTCAGAGTCAGTGTGAATGGAAAAAAACAAATAACAATAATAATGATAATAATTAACATTTACATAGGGCCTACTATGTCCTGAGCGCTGGGCTGAGTATTTTATAATTATTATCTCATTTGATCCTGTGAGGTAGATAACAAGTTTATAGCTGTTTAGATGTTAATTTTCATAATGACAATAACTCATCTTTCTGTAGGGCCTTACGGTTTACAAATCACTTATTTCTCAACAATCTTGTGAGATAGGTACTACAGATATTTTACAGATAAGGAAACTGAGGCCCATAAAGGTATTTTAAATGAATATTTTAAGTCTTGATGTTTAAAATTAAATTCATAATAGATTGTCTTCAAAACGGAAAAAGAAATCTCATATGAAATTCCCATGGTTCAGAGGTGATTTCTGCCTTTGATTGCGTTCCAGAATGTAACTAAATTCTGAGCCAAGCTTTTACCAATTCTTGTTGGCATTGGTACTGGTGATTGTAGTGTTGCCTTCTGTCACTGGGGGGCAGAAGTGTGCACACAGGTAGTGTTTCTTCATTCAGAAGAGGGCAGTGGTGCATGTGCTTGTGCACCCTTCCACCGCTTAGTGTTACCTAATGTTTTACAACTGCATCCGACGGCAAGTGTGCCGCTGGAGGAGCCTTAAAGGACCCTTAGTTAAACCTCTTCATTTTATGGTTGAGAAAATCGAGGTGCAGAGGTGTCTGCCCAAGATCACAAAGGCAGTCAGCGGCAGAGCTGGAGTCCCAGCTCAGGTCTTCAGACACACAATCCATTGTTCTTTCAGTGATACCACACTCCATACTTCGAACCATGGGAAAATGTTTGTGTCCGGGAAATTAACAGGAACATTAAAGACACCTTTTACCTGAGAAAGACATCTTGGCTTTTTAGAAGCGTAAGATTTAAAGTGGAAAAGAAATTGTCATTTTACCAATAATAGTGGCTGGTATTTACACAGAGCTTTAAGGTTTGCTTTATAAATATTATCTCATTTGATGCTTACGGTAACGCTGAGACATAGGTGGTGTTGTTCCCAATTTACAGATGAGGAAACAAACTCAGGGAGGTAGGTAAAGGGCTTTGCACCAGCTGGCCCCTTCCTACCTTTCCAGGCTTCTTCTGTCCACATCCTGAGGCTCTCCTGCTCCTCTCCCTCCCCCACTGTAACCCTCCTTTTCACTGTCTGGCTCCCATGCTGGGAAGGCTTTGACCTCCCCCCTGCTGTCTCCTGGCTTCTTTGGCCTTCTCAGGCCCTGCCCCAAGCCTGCCCTCTTGGGGAGGCCCACTGGCCCCCTCCCTCTCCTGAGTCACTTCCCAGTTACCCCGGGGATATTTTTTGTGGACATCCTTGTTGGCTTACTGAATCCCCCATTAGAATGTGAACTTCTGGGATGCAGGACCCTTGTTTTTGGGTCATTTTTATCCCTACTCTTTAGTGCAGTGACTGGCATATAAAGGATGCAAGAAATGATTGCTCACTGACTAAAATTACATGGATAATAGCAAATAACTGGGCTAGAATTTGAACTTGTATCCTCTTACTCCAAATTCAGTGTTTTCCCCACTATGCCATAACTGCATAAATATTTTAAATTTGGGTTCAGGGTGTATCGCTGGTCCCAGAAAAAAAATGGCTGTTTTGTTTTATTCCAGGCAAAAATGTGGTAAAACATAGGCTAGATATAAACACAGGCCTGAATCCAAACTTCAAAGGGCTGCCCTTGAGGACCTAGAGGTCCACAAATGGCCTCGAAGACACAGGTTCCCCACCCCTGGGCTCCAGTATCAGGTAGCAGAACTGAACTCCTTGATGGTGATGTCCTTGTCTTGAAAAGCAGACTGAGCAAGGGGCCTTTCTGACCCTTCTAGTCTAATGGCTTTCATTTCAACAGACCTAATGAAATACCACTATTTCTTCTCCCTTCCTTCCTACGTTCCTCTTCTTCTTCTTTTCTTCCCATCCCTTGCTTCCTCTCCCTTTTTCCTCCCTTCTGCCCCAGGATGGAGGCCACTTATGGATCTGTTCCCAGTGCCAATTGCATGGAAGCTTTACCAACCCGGGCTTCCCTCCTGAAACAACTCGATGTTCCTCTGGACTTATGTAGAAGGCCCCTCCATTTAATTGGTGCTGCAGCTCAGAGCCCACTTCAGCCCAGCTTCAGCCTTCCCAGCAGGGCTGCACCCCCATGCCTGGCATCCAAGCGATATATAAATATGAATAAGGTTCTTGCCCCTTCAAACTTACACTTGAGTAGGGGAGTTAAAAACATTTACAAAAATAACAAAATAATATGAAACAGCACGGGCATAGGAGAAATTAGGAAGCAGAGGGGCTCAAGAACATCTGTAACCCTGGCCAAATACCTTATGTTGAGAGGAAAGAAAGGACGGGATAGGGAGGAAGAAACCAAAGCTAGTCTTGACTGGTAAGAAGAAGCCCGAGTCCTGCCTCGTTAGACTCAGTTGCTAGAAGTATGTGGCCCCTTGATATGACCTCCCTTCATCTTGTCCAGCATATTGACCCCCAGTCATCTGCACCTGTAAGCTTTAACCTCTCCCTGCTTGCTGATTTCTTCCCCACTGCTTTTTATAGGGTCCAAGCTCCTCCTCCATGAAATAAACTCCACTAGATTCTCCCACCTCTCATTCTGTCTTGTGATTTCTCTGTTCCCCTTCTCAGACCTGCTCCATGGAAAAACTGCCTACGCCAGCTGCCCCTGCTCTCACTCAGCCCTCAGCCCTTTGCAGTCAGGCTTCTGACCGCCTCACCTGGTCTCTCCAGAGTTACCATTGATCTCTTCACCGCCATGTCTGATGGCATCTTCCCAGCCATCCGTTGGCCTGTAGGCTGTGTTTGATATTGTTGCCCACCCTCTCTTCCATCACATGACTCTCTCGTGGTTCT